TATTCGAGCGTTAAATCCCCCAGTATTATAATCTTCCCTCTGACTTGGTCTATTACTTGTAATTCGTCATAAAATGTCTCCCTTGTTGCTTGAGGCTTGTTATTTTCTAGGACGTATACTTCCATAATTCTCCGCTTTTTTCGCCAATCTTATTTTTGTTGTAACTATCCTTTATGATATATATTAATGTATTACTAAAGCTACATATTCAACTAATTTTGATTGTTCTTTTTCTTCTTTTTTTGTTTCCTGTAGAGCGTATAAGTCTATTTGTTTCTCTTTCAGCACGTGGGTTATTATATAATCCCTTGTGTTCAGCGATATAATGTTCCATATGGTAACTCTCATCTCAATTTTGGATATTTTTCTCTTGTCCTTATTTTTTTTATCACCATTTTTTAAATTGCTATATTCGATTTGAAAAAGCGTAATAGAAGAGTTTTTATGGCAGCATTTTCGGAAGGATAAATAGTGAGGAGGGATGGAGAAGAACCCACCAATATAAGAGTAATACAAGAAGCATAACATTATAATATATGTCAAGGCACAAAGAATAAGGTGGCTGGAGCATACACAAAGAATGCCAGTGGAAAGAATGCCAAAATTAGGACGTAGAAGAAGATGAAGAACGAGGGCAAGATGTATAGAAAGGGTTGAGAGTGAGACAAAGGAAGTAGGTGACTTAGACTGGTAAAGAGAAGCACAAGACGAAAGAAAATAAAGGAATACCGTCAAGAATTTTATTGAAAAATAACATAAAGTATTTTAAATGTAACTTTTTGCCCTAGATCTACAAGGCCTGTTGTGCACTGTAAATAACTTTTAAAAAATACAACAAGAAAATAATTGCACATCCACAACAAACATGTCATTATTTTCGGTCATAACTGTAACAAGTAAAATGAGCAAATCGCGAATATATTTAATTTTGGGCAACCTTTTGAATCTATTCGGCTTTGATTTAGGGCTTCCAGTATTGTTTCAAACAGCCGAATAGATTACATATCAAAGCCGAATAGATTACAGGTACACGACACTAATCAAAAACATCTATCAGAACGCTACATCAAGTATACGACTGCACGAAGACACAGAAAAAATTCAGCTTAGGTCGAGGAGTTAGACAAGGAGACAATATTTCACCAAAATTGTTCACGGCAGCTCTAGAGTCAATATTTAAGGGTACTCAATGGCAAGATATGGGCATCAATATTATAGATGGAGAAAGATTAAATCACTTAAGGTTTGCAGATGATGTTGTATTAATCGCAGATAACTTACATGATACAGTTTCTATGATGCATTCGCTTAAAAGTCTGTCTGAAAGAGCAGGATTAAAGATAAACTTTGAGAAAACTAAAATTATAACAAATACCATACAACAAACAGACACTTACAAATATCTGGGACACGAAATCAAAATAAGCAGAGACAATCAAACACATGAAATACAGAGGCGAATAGGTCTAACATGGGCAGCATTTGGCAAATTAAGCCATATTTTAAAAAGTTCAATTCCCATGTGTCTCAAGCGAAAGGTTTATAACCAATGTGTTTTACCTGTACAAACTTATGGAGCAGAGACTTTAACACTCACGCAAAAATCTGCGAATAAACTTAGAGTTACACAACGAGCCATGGAACGTGCAATGCTGAACGTGAGCCTTCGAGACCACATAACAAACCAACAAATCAGGCGAAGATCAGGAGTTCAAGACGTCATCGAAAGAACCACGACGCTTAAGTGGAACTGGGCAGGGCACTTAGCCAGAGCACAAGATGGACGGTGGACAAGACGTATTATGGAATGGAGGCCCAGAAATTATAAAAGAAGCCGAGGACGACCACCGACTAGATGGACCGATGACATTAAACGTGTAGCGGGAAACTGGCTACAAGCGGCCCAGTGTAGAGAACACTGGAAAGAACTGAGGGAGGCCTATGTCCAGCAGTGGACGCGATTGGCTGATTGATGATGATTGATGAACCTTTTGAATAAGTCAGTACATTTCTATCGACGAAGCGCGTTTTTCACATTTTAACGCAATAGAGCGAGAAACTGACGATCCTCAATGAACATCAAATTTTCGTTTTCATTGACAAAAGAGCCTTTCTTTATTAGGTGTCTGTAGAAAAATGTTATCTCTAATTGTGTTATCTAAAATTATCTCTAAATATTTTGAAAGAATATTAGTGTGTTAATTTTCTTTAGGATTTATATTTATGAAAAATGCATTAAAGCTAAAAAATACTGCTTTTATTATTCTCTAAATAATTTAGAGAAAACAAGATTTTCTTTTTATCTGAAATTAAAGAAAAGTTCTCGTATATATGTCAAGTAGTGCAATTCTCACGAAAGTATAACTATGATTTACAGCTTAGATATTTTTTAATTATAATATATAACTATATAATTATCATACACATACACGTGGACCAAAATTATTATTAATCATAATATGTAATAGGCACCAAATAACCATAGGTGTAATTGTTAAAATATTATAATTCATGTTCATTCTCCTACATTACTAAGAAAATTAAGTTAATTACTTTTTCCCATTTTTTATATCGTGAATGGTAAGAATTCCACGAACAGTCGCTTAATTGCTTTTCCCCAGTTAAACATAAACAAAATGAATGATTTGATTTAACATTTTTTATTGTGATGATCAGATTTATTTATTGTCCTGTTTTAAATGGCATAATAAACTGCTTATGTGCGATATTAAATTCACAGATTAAAAAATAAAGTGGTAAATTAGGCGGTACTGTAGACTAGCGCGGAGCTTCATACTATGTTTTCTGTTTTTTTTTAAATTTTAATATTTTTAAAATTCAACAAATTAATTTTATTATTTATTGGTTATTTATAATTTAAACAAATCAAAAGTAGCTGCAAACAAATGATCCAGATGATAGACGAACATATGCAAGATCAAACAGAGAAGTAAAAAATTTAGTAACTAAAGCAAAAAATATTTCCTGGGAAAGTTAATGCGAAGAACTCAACAAATATATAGGGTCAACAAGATCAAGAGAAGCATGGAAAACGGTAAAAAATCTGAGAACAAACAGAAAAGAAACGAGTAGAATAGATTTAATAGAAGAAAAATCTTGGATCGAACACTACTCACAACTTTTGACTGAAACAAGACCTCAATTCACGAACATCAGTACAACAACATATGAACTGGAATTCAGTGAAGACGATGAAATAACAATACAGGAAGTCGAGAATGCAATACGAACTCTAAAAAATCGGAAGTCATGCGGACCACAAGACATTCCAAATGAATTATTAAATCATAGCCCACAAGTATTACGGGAATTACTGGCGTACGTCTTCACCTTATTCTATAATGGACACGACTTACCGGGGTGGACAAAAGCACATATTAACAACATCTACAAAAAGGAGATAGAAAGAATTGTTCAAACTACAGGGGGCTAAGTGTCATAAATTCACTCTCAAGACTGTATGGAAAAATAATAAAAAATAAAATTGAAAAAGAGATGACAGATGTAGAAGAACAGAATGGCTTTCGTGCAGGCAGATCCTGCATGGACAGTATATTCTCTCTAAAGCAAGTTATCGAGAAAAGACTAGCCCACAACCTTTCAACTCATATAGTCTTTATAGATCTGACAAAGGCATACGATAGTGTACCACTTTCAATGCTTTGGCTAGCAATGAAAAAACAAGGGATAAGCAAAAAAATATACAAGCAGTACAACAGCTCTACAAAAATATGACGGCAAACATTAAAACTGGAAATAGATTAACTAGAGAAATTCCTATTAGTAAGGGCCTAAAGCAAGGCTGCTGCATAGCACCTACACTCTTCAAAATATATCTAAATGAGGCACTCTCACTGTGGAGAAGAAAGTGTTGCAATATGGGCATCCCAATCGGAGATGATAGATTGTACACGATACACTTCGCTGACGACCAAGCCATTCTATTAACGTATAGTGTTTCTCTGGGAAGGTCGTCTTGTCGTTCGCACCGTATTGTCACACCACTCTTTAATTAACCCTAGAAAATGGTGCCCCCAGTTTCAACTAAAAAAACGCTTGAAGACTTTATCGAAATTTATAGAATTCATCCATGTCTTTGGGAAATCAAAAATAAAGATTACTATAATTAGATAAAAAAGCGCTTTTCCAAGCACTTGAGATGAAATAATTGCTGAGAATTTTAAATCTTCATAACTTCTTCCAGTTGCGAGAAATCTCAAGGTAACTGATAATCTTTCATGTGCAGAAGTACTATTTCTCATAAATGTGACTTTCTTTTTTATCATAGGAGTAACCACTTCAAGTAATATAATATATGTTTTCTCGTCCATTCGGGGATAGTTTTTAAAGTCTTCTGGTTCAAATTTGAATTCATTTAATAAGTTGACATGATTGTATGTTTTTCTTTTCAAAAATCAATGCTTACACCACTTTTTTCGCTTATTTTTCACTGTTTTTTACCTTTTGTCTTCAAAATTAAGACCGCACCGGTTTACCGGAGAGTCCCCATACACGCTACCGCTGTTTCGTTGACCTGTACAAGCATACCTGCACAGCTAGACCTCTACGGTAGACCGTAGTGTGTATGGCATGCATAAGAAACAGTTCTGGTTTAAAAAAATTTTAGCGAATGATTTAACTCCACCAATAACCAATTGTTAGTGATGGGAATCGGGAAACGAATTCAGAACGAAGACGACACTTGAATTTATAATTATAATTTACTTACTACATTTTATTTTAAACTGTTAACCCCTTTAGAGTTTATCAATATATTTTAATCATAGTTAACAAATTAACGAAAGATCTTTGGGCGGAGCGTTGTCACTCAAATATAAAAACACCTTGTATAAAATAGAAATACTGCAGAACACTAAAATAAATATACGTTTAGAGTTGTATATTGAATTTAACATAGACAACATGTTTAAAATATAAAATATAAAACACCACATCATGCTACTAAGTAAAACACTCACGTTTTCTTTCGTTTGGACTTGGTCGGCGTAATCTCCGCTACAGTTTGTGCCTTGGCGAGACAATTGTGTTTTTTGACTTTGCCCATCTCTTCGAGTGCTTGCTCAAGTTTTGCTTTCATGTTTTCATCACGTGGTGCCTTCACGTTGAATTTTCTCGCAGAAGGAACTGGGAACCTTTTCCTCGGTGTCGTTTTTTTGACACCGTCCCCATCACCCTTCGGCGTAAAATATTCTTCTTGGTTATCTTTACTGTCTTCCATGTTTTTTTTGTATTTTCAAATTTATATTAAGGGTATAAAATATTTATTCAGTGTTCGATTATATAAGTGACATATGTGTCATAGACAATTATATATAAATTGGTTATCAGAGCATACTGCTTATATAAATTTGTAAAAAAAAATATTAAAACCTTGACAGTGACTATTTAGTTCAGTTAAATTGTATTTTTGCTAGGAAAGTTTTGGGGTAGTTCTGATTTTTTTCATTCCATATGTTTTTTGGGGTGCTTAATCCGAATCTGGGGTTTGCGGACAAAATTTCGTGACGCAACATTAAAAAAAAAACAGAATAAACCGTTTTTTTTCTTCTTTTTTCGGGTTTTTTGCTTAAAACTCGAAAACTATCAACTTTTGGTAAATGGTCTGTTTACAGAAATTAAAGTACTTGAAATTTTCTACAAATATCAGTATTTAGTTTTTTTTCAGACGAATCGTTCGGTTTCTAGTGCGAGTTGAAAATTGTAAATTTTTAGCATATTATGCAAAACCCACTTTTTACATTTCAATATTTAATTTTTATGGATGCTGTCATTTGATAAATGTCACCTAGTTTTCCACACAAGTAATTAAAAAGAAAAAAGGGAAAAATTATGCAAATTCAGTAGGTAGGTAGAACTCGTAACAAAATAAAACTTAAAATCTCGTTACTGATGATCATATAATATTATGATTAGAAATTATAATATGCAAAATTTATAGGAGCCGTTGTCTTTTGGAAGGCCCTGGCTGAGGTTCTTCGATAACGATGAGTCCTGGTTCTGCTTGTTCTGGAAAATAAAAGTTTAAAGTTAAGTCATTTATCAAGAAGAGATGAAGATTGCCAAATAGATTGTGAGATACCTTCCGCATCGTAGCGAGGTTCTTCGATGGCATCGGGTCCTGGCTCAGGGTCTGATTGCTCCATCGTCCGCGTTGCGAGTCATTCTCCTGGAAAATAAAAAGAGGAGAGACACATATCATATATCAAGGAGAGATGAATGACTACAAGATAACTTGTCAGATCCAACATACCTCTCCCTCTTTCTTCAGTTTCTTCTACGTCTATGTCAGAGCTTTTATTCTGGGGCTCAACATTGTTACACAGTCTTTCGCATGATGCGCATATTGAAGAACAATGGAGTCCCGCCTTCCTGCATCCACAATTGCGTTGACAGCCATTTTTACATTTACATGAAATGTACCGGAGTATTGAGTTTGGTGCAGGGTCCAAAGTAGTTGGTACTGGCACAAGACCACTACTAGTTTTTGCCATCCCCACTCACTTGGGTTTTGTTGCTCGTTAGGTGTGGCTTGACCGGATAACCACTGCTGCACCTGATAGTAAACTCTCAGTGAATGTTCTCGTGCAGCAGCTTCAGTTGGTGGCAATGAGGAAATGTTGGTCTTATTTTTGAATGATGAAGATACGTATTGTTTATATCTTAAATCGTTTAGTTTTGTCTCTTTTTTTCCATATAGAGCCGTGCGAAACATGCTTCCTGCTGTGGCAATCTCATCTTGACTTGAATTAGAGTCTTTGAAAGCTTCAATTACCGATTGCAAATCTTTGTTCTTCTGCAGGACTTTAAGAAATTTCAGTTTCCCTTGATTAAACAATGCAGAAGTAGTATAACAACCACTCATCGCAAGCAGAAATAAAATATGATTCAATAGGATTTTCTCAGCAGCCTGATGAGGATTGTAGAGGCTTTGCGAAACCTTTCCTTTTCCTGGCTTCAAAAAAAATACATTTTTTATATCAGGGCTACAAAGGCCAATCAAAATGACCAGTAGGTCGATATCTACCCCCACCACTGTCACATGTTCATTTGTGCGCTAGTGTGCGCTACACGTACACACATACTACAACGTCTACAACAGGTGAGCACATTGTTGCCGCTTGGAATGTAAAGCGGCTTTAACTGCTTTTTAACCGAGTTATTTTGATTTTATATTTATTTTATGATAAGGGCCCGCGTAGCGCAAGCGGTAGTGTGCTTGCCTCGCATGCCGGTGGTCGTGAGTTCGAATCCTACCGCCGGCAAGAACAACTAGGCATTTTTAAAATGTCTACAGGCCCCAGGTCGACTCAGCCTGAATAAAATGAGTACCTTGGGTAAAACCAGGGGTAATAATAGGCGGTTGAAGCGTAGCACTGGCCATGTTACCTTCCTTGTATACCGTAGGCCCTAGATATAGCAGACTACCCTGCTATACTCCCAAAGCCGCGTGCGGTATAAAACGGGAGACTATTATTATATTATATTTTGATTTTTTGCAATCTAGCTATATTATTTGAGTCAAAACGTGAATTATCCGTGTGACTCGGTCTTTATTTTAATTAACTTAAATACTAGGGGAAATTAACTGAAAACCTTTCAATACAAAATCTAAAAAGTGGGTTTTGTAGTCACACCGGTACAAATTGCCAATTTTCAACTTGCCCTTGAGACCGAACGGTTCGTCTGTACAATAACCAAAATAGTGACATTTGTACAGAACTTTAAGTACTTTAATTTCTGTAAACAGACCATTTACTAAAAGTTAACAGTTTTCGAGTTTTAAGCAAAAAACCGGAAAAAGCAAAAAAAACCGATTTCTTCTGGTTTTTTAAATGTTGCGTCACGAAATTATGTCCGCAAACCTCAGATTCAGATTTAGCACCCCAAAACACATATGGAATGAAAAAATCAGAACTTCACCAAAACTTTCCTACTAGTATCACTTTACAGTACAAATTTACTGAATTAATTGAACGGTTTCAATTTCTTGTACCATCAGCAAGACTGTGTCCATAAAGTAACATATAAATTAACACTCTATAGTATGAATTTATTTTATTTTATTTTTTGGCAAAATAAAATAAAATTATATTAAATTCCTCTTAATAGATGTATGTAGAATTCACCTTTACCCATTTTTCTTTAATGATCCGGTTTTTTAGAAAAAAATTTGTGCCCATTTAGGATCATTATGTATAAAAACTTTTATTAGAACCAATTTAGATCGATGTATTGTCAGTATAAAACTATTCCATATTGTGAAACTTCTTAAAACAGTTTCTACTTTTAGAATGAAAGCATAAATGCACCTTATATTTCTCGCACTGGATCCTTAATTTGCCCTTACAGCTATCATCTTACATCTTTCCCTGTTTAAAGTCTAGTTTAGCCAGAGTGAAAACTGATCTGTTTGTGCATATATATTGGGTCCAGGTTTAATGCATCTTTTTTTAGATGGTTGTTCGGGTGTAGAATTTTTAGGCCGACCTACTTTTCTTTTTTGTATAACACCACAGTTAGTTAGTTGTTCAGCTAGAATTATTTTGAAATTCAGCAGTGGTATAATCTCTTCAGTTTTTCCAATTTGTTTTTTCATTCGCCTGTCTAATAGCCAAGCATTGACTACTGCTACATCTAGCATATGATAGAAAATACGGTGGTACACAGATACAGATCCACACCGACCATGTGCCTGTTATACTGTTACACAATGTCTGGGCAATCAATTTCTTTCCTAGTTCTTTCGGTGCGAAAGAATCTTCATTCTGGCTGTTGGTTGAGTTCCACAGTAATCTGACAGTAAAGACACAATTTTGTTGTCACACCACTAGACTGTATGTATTGCAGTATTCTCATAAGTATTAGAGTGTTCCTGAATGCTTCCCATTTGTTATTTTTTAATTTCTTTCTTTTACCAACCTTTATTATTCAGAATTTGGTATTTATTGGACGGTATTTCTCTGCTCAATCGAACTACAACATTACTAGCAGCTTCCAAATTTACTTCATTCGGTATTTCTGTGTAACCATCTTTTCCAATCAAAATTTCAAAATTATATGAAAATCCTGAGATTTCTGAGAGAACCTACATCTAGTATCACCATTGTTGCAGCTTTTTGGGATTGTATGTCTTCATACTCGAACGTCTTTGAACGATATAACTTGTTCGTCACAAGAGTTTTTCTAAAGATATCTGCAAACACAGTCTTTTTATTTGTTCAATCAGGGGCGAGATTTTATCAAGACTTCGTGCATTTTTTAAATTATTACTAAAATAAAGAAACCTTTTGATCGTTTGATCAAAACGATTAATAGGCATTACGTCTGCAACTTGTGAAATTCTTGTTGTCGGAGCCCAATAGCGAGTTGTAGTAGATTCTCTAATTAGAGGCATCCACAGCAATATCCCCATAAAATTTTCAATTTCTACAGGACATGTGGTAATTGGCTTTTGTGGATTTGTATGAGCGCTGTAGCTACAACTTTGTCGAACTACCTAAATTATAAAATTTGGTGTCAAAAAAAAACTAAACAAGTTGTAAGTAGATTTGAGCTGCAATATGTTGGTTGGAGGTAATTCAATATCTTCAAAATGCAGTTCACCTACATTTCTCACAGTTTTTGAAAGATGCCGTGTCATATGATGAAAATATATACGGAAACAGGAAGATATTTCGTTAACGAAGATATTAAAAAAAGGGGAGAAGTATCTACCTGCTTACGGTCTTCATATGAGATAATATATCAGATTGATACAATAGTCTTTACATAACCAAGAAAGTTTCTTTGCTATAAGACTGTCAAAGAGCTTAGGGATTGCAGATTGTATACAAATGCTACGATAATTTTGAATATTGTCTTTCTGATCACTTTTAAATATAGGAACAATATAACTTTCATTCCATGAAGAAGGAAACATAGAGGTTTCCAGAGATCTAATAAACAATATAACAAATAGTATTACAAGGGCAGAGATACACTGTTTTAATCAAAAATTAGGCACAATTAGGAATACCGGTCATGATTATCTTAGAAAGTTAAATATTTGTACCAGAGTTGCTATTTAATGAATGGATTGGTATGTAAAGGTTGTTGTTATTTGGTGAATAAACAGTTTGGAAGAAGTTCATAAATAAATTAGCTATGTCTTGACCATTTGTTGCAGATTGGACTTGATAAAATAAAGAGATAGGTAGGGTATGACTAGATCGCTTATCA